TAAATTGACTCATTCATTAATTTTTTTTGAGCCACCTGTTTAAGCAAATCTGAAAAATATAAATGCAAATGCTAAATGACAAGTAAAAACTCATCATATTTTGCACATTCCGGGTAGAATTTATCCGGCAAAATTTTGACATGACGTTATCAATTTTTTGGGGGAACGTTAGACAGATATATTTTAATTAACAATTTACCATGCTTACAATAACTTTAAAACGTCTACAAGATTTCAAAGTATTCAGTTTTGCAATTCTTGATTTACTTAATAAAATAAATTGACTGATTCATTAATTTTTTTGAGTCACCTGTATAAGCAAATCTTAGAAATATTAATGCAGTGATAATTCACAATTTTGCACATTTAAGATAAGAGTTATTCAGCAATATTTTGAGGTGACGTCATCAATTTTTTAGGGGGGATGAGTAAATACATTTTGATCAAAACTTTACCATGCTTATGATAGATAAATTTAAAGCATTCAGTTTTGCAGTTCCTGATTAAATCAATAAAATAAATTCACGCATTCATTAATTTTTCGCCTGTATAAGCAAATATATTTTGATTGAAAATTTATTATGCTTATCATAACTTTAAACATCTGGAAGATTTCAAATCATTCGGTTTTGCAGATTCAAAATTAAATTGCAAAATGTTTTATAATTTTGATTTTTCAAAAAATCTGGACGTTTCAGCTGAAAACTCAACTCGGCATCATAAACTACATGTGTAAGACTATGTTATTTTATACAATTTAAAACCCATTTACTATATACAATTTTGGAGTGACGTCATCACATTATTGGTGGTGATGATTATACACATTTTGGTTAGCGTTTTACCATCTACATGATATTTCTAATGTAAATATTTTGAGAACATTCGCCCCAGTGCATACTAATTTGTAGGGGTCATGAAAGATTCAAAAAACGTAAAAGTAGAGAGTCGGTCGACGGAATCGATTACAATACTTCCTTCCCTTACGCTCGGGAAGTAAAGGTAGAGGATCAAAATTGATTGTACAAACGCGGCCTACTGTCATTCCGATCTGTATAGAAACGTATTTTCTGTTCAAAAACAGGAAGAACTAAGTAGTGCATTTGTTAAAATTAATTTTATTCCTCGTAAGAATAATTCTAGTACTTACTTGCCTATTTATACCGGGTGTCTGGGAAATGGCGCATTAACTCTTCAGTACGTTATGTACGGGGGTTTCGGGAGTCCCAAAAAATAATAAAAAAAATTCTTTATGAAGTAGATTACGAAAAAAACGTAATTTTGTAAAAGTAAAATTGACAACACTGCACGCACATAATGCGTGAATACCTCCGGTTTACTTTCTGATTTCTTAGTAACGATGGTCACTGAAGTTCACCTTTTATTTTTTTTAGGACAATAACCATAACAACCAGTAGTCCTTAATCGTTGTGCATTATTATTAATAAAACAAGCTGTTATTTTTCATTAATAATTTTTCATTCTGAATTTATTCATAAACAAACCAAAAAAAAACATTTAATAAAACATTTATAAATTATAAACAAAAAACAAAACTAACAAAAAAATCCATTAAAAACGCTAGAGAAAATGTTCGAAATTCCTGAGTATCCTCTAAGAAATTTAATTAAATTATTATAAGAAAAGACACTAGAGGCTCTAAAGCACTTTCAAATTCTTTCCATACAGGAATAGTTAGAACCTCAAGATTGTTTTAAATTAAAAAAAAAATGGTCGTAATAGTAACTCAATAGCAGGTCAGGTCAGAATTTTCTAAAAATAGAACACCAAAGTCCCCCAAAACTGTTTTAAATAATTTAGAAAAAAAATTCCATGGGCTTCCAAATAATACACCATGGGTACCTAAAAGTCTTCCGAATTAAAAAAAAACACTGCGGCACTCAAGACCTTCAAATTCGCAAAAAACAAAACACTAAGAGCTCAAAAGATTTTTTCAAGTTCATCCAGCAGCAAAACACCAGATTCCTTCAAATTTATCCGAAAATAAAACACCAGGGGACCTAAAACCAACTGCGAACTTTTTAAGTGGACCTACGCTTTTGAAAACTTTGACAATTTTTGATACGTCAAACATTTTTAACTGCTTACTCGATTTTTACTGATTTGCACCTTCGCCTTATATCAAGCCATGATCAAGCAAACATTGTTGTCAAATGGAATTTTATCAAGTTATATACTAACTTTTCGCCCGCGGCTTTGCCCGCGTAGACGATTCGTTATTTTGAATATCATTATTACCAACCTTCAAGTAAACAATTTGTTGAAGGACGTTGATAGAATTACCAGTAAACATCGACATAAAAATATTTTTGCTCATAAAAACTTTGTCATGCCGTTCATCTTCTTAGGGGTGGAATCTCGAAACAATCTGAAATATTTACGTGTTTCATTATTTGTGTCGAAGAGCATTAATATCGAGTTTCACGAAAAAAATTAAATTTACAGTAGAAATATTTTTCCTATACAAACTTAGCCTCCACATTTCACTGCCTTGGGGGTTGAAACTTGGAAAATGCTTAAATACATGTTTCATTATGCATTAATAGTAAATTCTACTTCAAAAATTTAGAATAGAAATTATTTTCCCATATAAAGCTAGCCACCACTTTTCACCCCCGTAGGGGTTGAATCTCGGAAAATGCTCACATACGTGTTTCATTATTTGTGTTGAAGAGCATTAATATCAAGTTTCACGTAAAAATGTAATTATACAATAGAAATATTTTCCCATACAAACTTAGCCTCCACATTTCACTACCTTAAGGGTCGAATTTTAGAAAATGCTTAAATGCGGGTTTCGTTATTTGTGTTGAAGAACATCATTACCAGGTTTTAAAACATTACCACAAAAATATTTTTGCCAATACACACCCCTTTTCGCCTCCTTAGGGGTTGAATATCGGAAAATGCTTAAATATGGGTTTCATTATTTGTATTGAAGATAATTAATACCTGTTTTCACTTAACAATGTAAATTTACAGTAGACACATTGGGCCTATACAATTTTTTCACCCCTTTTTACACCCTTAGGGGATGAGTTTAGAGAAATCCCTTCTTAAACGTTGCCTCCAGTATAAAATGAGCATTCTCTCCAAATTTCAACTTTCTAGCATTAGCAGTTTGGGCTGGGCGTTGATAGGTCAATCGGGACATTGCCTTTTACATATACAGGTTATTCATCTAAGATGACTCATTTGTGTTTTTAAAATAGGTAACCCAAAATACCGATTCCACCTGAACCTGGATTACAAAAAATGTTTCAAAATTAAATTGTATCAAAGTTTGCTTATAAGTGTATAGAAACGTCAGTGTTAGAAAAATGCCTATGCATTCTTACGATAATAACGAGAAATCCGACCAATCTTTGTGGTTGGTTTGTGGGTCGAAGTGCATGCTCCAGCTGCAGATGGTTAGAGCGGTTAGGATGAAATTTATTTATTTGTCTAGCAATAGCAATTTGTCCCATAACTCCCATATGAGGATTCTCATTAACTTGTGCAAGAAGTTATACTTCATTTTCCAAGCTAGTCGCAGTCTGGTTCCGTTTCCTCTTGTTAGCAGGCCACTTTCTTACGCAAGGAATTTTCTAGCCTCTTGAAAATTTTGGGTGTTGGAGCCAAACGGTCAGGATATCTTCGGGCTGTACGCCTAGTCTTTTAGTGTCATTCTCCATAACGTGTCCATCACTAAGGATCATGTCGGTTTTCTCATTGTTGAATGCGTAGGGGCATAGGCATTTTTCTGACATTTATGTTGACTGACGTTTCTATACATTTAGCAGACTTTGATACAAATTAATTTTGAAACATTTTTTGTAATCCAGGTTCAGGTGGAATCGATATTTTGGGCTGCCTATTTTAAAAACATAAATGGGTCATCTTAGCTGAATAACCCTGTATAAATTACAAAAACAACACAACCACATCTCTGTACATTGACACGCTAACCAAAATGTGCTGTACGTTCATTTAAAAAACGTCAATTGAAATTTTGCCAGATAAATTTATGTTAGAACATACTTCTTTGTCTGAAATTTAGTAATAAATACTTACAACGAAATTTTTGTATATGTAGACTGCAGTAGAAAATACAATTGCACTATACGTGCACAATTTTTCTTTGAACTTTCATAACAAACTTTTTTTAAATCTTAGTACCTAAAAAATTAAGATTGATTTGATAGCTTGTTACAGTTTTATTATTTGACTCTTCTACGAGCAGAATTACTTTCTAATTAGGTAACCAGAATATCTTTGTAAATAGGAGGATTGACGCACTGATTTATATAACAATAACAAGTTTATCCTTACCAAAAATTTAGCATGTAGTGGTCATTCTTTAGAGAATAGGGGAATTTTGTATAACAAATTTAGCTCATTGTTTTAATTTGTATTAAACAAACTAAAAGCACTAATTTACTGTAAATAAATGTAAATACTTCACGCAATGACGACAGTAGAAGCATATTTAAAAAAGAAAATATGCTGCTTTACTTGTGGCATATCAATTTTCCAGTATTGTATCACACTGTTTTTTATCATTGCTAAATGGCGTGGCTTAAAATTTTTACATATCCCTTATCTTTGGCTATTCGAATTATACAAAAGTAATGATAAATATTTAAAAATCGAAAATAATGTACAACACATAAATAAATCATTTTAATAGACAATATTTTAAATCCCTGCGTCAAAAAGAGGGAGTATTTAAAGCCGAATCATCACAATAGTTAGTTCTTATTCTTAATCTGTAGTTAAGAAGAATTTTTTGTATGATTTATACACAGAACACAAAATCTTAAGTCAGCAGTGGACTCTCAAATTTGATTAAAGTTTGCTATTATGTAGACTTTTATAAAATTATTAAACTTCAAGCATTTAATGAAAATTGAACACAAGTGAAATGATAAAACTTATAATTTTAAATTGAAATTTTTATGTGAGTATTTACAGATCATCAAATTAAGTCTTGCTCAGTGGGAAATTTATTTACTCATAAATACTTATACATTTAATAAATAACAAAGATAACAGAGAATAGAATTAAACATAGGTATGTCATTTCGCATTATCCTTGAAATAAATATCAAAAAACATATTTTTTTAGAAACTGCGGCCATAAAAGTACTATTTTGTATACTTCACCGACACCAGCAACAGACATGAACTTTAACTTTGTTTTGTTTTTCGGTTGCTATTTTTATTACTTATTTTTAAGTGGTGTCGAAATTACTGGAGCTCCAACCGAAAGTGGAAGTCTCAAGCTTCTTTATGTAGTAAGTGAGATTTGCATACCACATAGAAATAAAATTAATGACAGATTTAAAGATTTTCAGACATGGCAATCGAACTCCAAATGGACCCGAGGAACTTTATCCGGAGGATCCGTATCTAAATGAAAAGTATTCACCAATAGGTCTCGGCCAATTAACCAACGTAAGGTTTTAAAATAAATTTTGCTGTTATTAAAAAAAAACACTACTGATGTATTGATTTTGACGATTGCAGTCTGGAAAACGGCGCGAGTATCGTATAGGCAAAGCTCTCAGAGAAAGGTATAACCAGTTTTTAGGACAGTATTATACTCCAGAAATAATAGAACCCGTAAGCACTGACTATAACAGAACTAAAATGTCTTTACTGTTAGTTCTTTATTCGTTGTATCCCCCCAAAGGAGTAGAAATATGGAAATGGAACACTGACTGGCAACCAATTCCTTACAATTATTTACCAGCTTCAGAAGATAAAGTAATAATTTACAGTTTCAGAAAATATTGGTAATTTTTTTTTGTTATTTCAGTTTTTGCTAGGAACCCTATGTCCGCATTATATTGAACTCTATGACGAATATAGCCATTCCCCTCAAGTTCAAGCAAAATATAACAAATATCAAAACATTTTTAATTACATATCTAGAAATACAGGCTTAAACATTACTTCATTTCGAGATGTATACCAGCTAAGGTTCGGCTTACATGCAGAAGTAAAGTTGACACTGACTTCAATGTCTTTAATTTTCTTAACAATAAATAATTAACAGAAAGACTGGGGCTTCGAACTGCCAGAATGGACAAAGCCAGTTTGGCCTCAAAATATGACCAATTTGGCCATCCGAGAGTATTTTATAGGCACAGGTACCACGAACTTACGACGAATGGCATCAGGTAAATAACAAACAGTTTGCACAGTTATAATACTTTCACTAAACACAGGGTATTTCTTACAAAAAATGATTGCTGATATAAAGCTGAAAATTAATCATACCACTCCTAATCGAAAAATATACTTAAATTCGGCACATGAGGACAATCTTGCTAATCTTCTGATAACGCTGGATATTTTTAAAAAACCTCACATTCCCGATTATGGCGCATATCTGACATTTGAAATTCATCTCATAAATGGAAAATATGGAATTAAGGTAAGCATTTAAACAATTTTGAAATCAAAAATGCTATTCATAGGTGTTTCAAATTTCATTTAACCGGCATTAAGAAAACAACGTGACAGCGGTGTTAAATTTTAGTCTTTATAAAAAAAACATGATTTTAATTCAAAAATGTAAGCATGATTTAATAATCTCTCTACATTTTTAACATTATATTTTTGGGTTATCCTTAAATTTCATGATTTTTCTAAGCAACTAACTACTTCTATCAAAGACACTATTACAGATTAAGAATTTTTTTATGAAAAGCTGTCAAGTACTATAAGTGTATTTTTATAGCCAAATTATCGGAAGACAATGTTATAATTAGTGTTAAATAGATGTATTTTTTTTACCCTAAAATCATACTAAGTAAATTAATTGTCGAAAAGAATGTCTTGCAATCCATGGGATATGTGTATGTTAAGCTTTAGAGAGGTACTAATTAATAAGTCGGTAGTACTTTTCTTCAACTCACTAATACCATCGCTAAAAATATCAGTGCAAAACCATTAATTTTGTAAATTAGCTTACTATTACCTGTCACATCAGCATTTGACAAATTCATATTTTACTGCGAAAAAAAGAAAATCTCTATTTATTTGTGTTAATTTTTTCCAACTTTGTATGTCACCGGAAATTTTGTTTTAGTGGTGGAAAATTATTCTTATGACAAGATTTTGTAAACCAAAAATATCGGTTCAAAAAACATGTATTAAAACTGTTACGTTATATTTCATTCTAATCTAGCTTATACAGAACGCAGGAAACCCCATATCACCATTCAGTACTACGCTAACATATTTTGACGTGAAGTAACTTAATTTAATCTTTATTTTTGTTAAAACGAATTTTACATTATATCTCAAAGAAATCTAAGGATAACAAGAGAAAATGAATGGGTTGTAGCTAAACAGACATGAATTTTTGGGAATTTCATCTACGTATTTATCTATTTCTTAATGTCAATTTGCGGTTAATTGAGGTTGCTTCTTAAGCATTGTTTAGTACTTGCTTATTTTACCTCATTTTGAGTCATAACTATATCTACTCCTTAGAAAATTATTTTAACATATTGCAACGAAAATATATATATGATTCCATTAATGCGACAGAGAACGAGAGTGCTTGTTACTAAATTTGACTTTTATTGCACTTAAATGTCACCAGTAATACGTAATTTACGGCTTGTTAAATAAAATCGAAGACATCTAGTTTAAGGAAAATATCTCTAAAATGAACACCAATTTCAAGTGATGTTTAACTATGTACTAACAAATGCACTTTTCATTTAAATTGTACTTTCAGATTTACTACCAAAATTATGAAACAGACGAACCCCGTTTGCTCAAACTGCCAGCATGTGAGTCTTTTTGTGCACTAGAGAAATTTATCTCTCTTACAGAAGAATATATGCCAGCTCCAGATTTATGTTATCGTTAACATTAAAATAAAGAATTGTATACCACGTGTTTTTTTTATTTGATACAACCCCCGTAATTTTTTTATTTTAAAAAATAAACATATAGTTCTTTGACCAAATTTGTATCATTTTAAAAGATCGCTTATGTGAATAAATGACATGAGTGTCAATTTTTCAAGCTACTAGATTGTCATCAATTAATATGAATTTTTCGTGTATTTTATTTAATAATTTTTTAAGTATTGATTTTACAAATATTGGTTGCTTTTTATTTTTAGACAAAATCAGTCTTTCCATTTATGAAAAAATATACCAAGTGTCCCATAAAAAAAAATAAAGTTGATGTCATTTCCGGTTCTCCCGGAAGTGATAATATAAATGTGAGGTTGCCATCACATAGATCTTTTAAAATGATACATTTGTTCAAAGAACTACAGATTTATCTTTCAGAATAAAAAAGTTACAGGGGTTGTATCAAATAAAAGAAACACCCTGTATATTAATACGCATTTTCTTTGTTTAATTTGACTTGTGTTGCGATGTGTTGTTAATAAATTTATAGTAATACAAATATATAGAACCTCGACAGCTTGAAAAACACAACAAATTTATTTTTATGACATTGTTCTGTGTCTATTAAACTACTTTTTCTTGTTATGTTTTAATAAGGTTTTTAGAGGATAAATAACCATAAAAAGTCAGTAAAGATGTAAAAAATTAGTTAGCATCTCAATCTCTGCTAAATGAATACGGTCTTTAAGGTCGAACAACAAAAATACTACTGATAGTAACAAATTATTATAACATTTTTTTATGTAGCAGAGTGAACGATTTACTTTTTTACTTTCCCAGTTTAAGTAAAGCAGTATTGCAACAGGGTCCAGTCGGCAAATTACTACACCAACAATTTGATGAAATAACATGCGCCTGTAGATATGGTTTATGAATCCGGTTTGATTGTTTACCCGGGGATCTAGCAAAAAAAAAAATTGTATAATTATTATTGTGTATTAATAGCCGATTAGCTCAATTGGTGAAGCGTCGTGCTAATAAAGCGAAGGTCGCGGATTCGATCCCTCATGAGCATTTTTTTTGTAATACTGTAACTGGTAGTATCTATAAATTTTTTAACCAATTTCGCAAAATCAAATTTTATAATTTTTCGAAAGAGCTAGATTTGTTGCACTGTACTTTAGGCGTGAGGGAATTTCTGTCCAAATAACTTTAGACCAATTTTTGCTTCCTAGGGGTTTATTAGGGAAGTATTGTAATAGGATCTATGCTCTATGTGACGAATGGCTAAATTCATATTTCTATACACGTTTTACGTTTTGCATAATGGGAGTGTATGTGACTTCCGCTTCCAGGCTTTCCTAGCGCCGCATCGAGAGTTTTCTGGGCCCGTCGCGACATACGCTTACAGACTTTCCTTTAGTGAACGTCGCGTCGCTCGACCGATGAGTCATACTACATACGAGAAGAAACGCATACATACTAGAAGACCCATAGGCGTCGTACCGAGGCGGCGTATGGGTTTATTTCGTAACAATATCTTATTCCCATTGCTTTTCATTAGATCTATGGGGAACCTTATTGACTCATCTTGTCCAGTTTTTTTTTTAATAAAATAGTACATCTTTAAAATAAGTTTGGACTTATCATTCTGACACGCCATTTTGACAACATAATTTAAATTTAATAATTAAACATCTTTATTACAGATTTTAGAAACAAAAAAGAATGTGGAATTCAAACATAGATGAAGAAAACAATAGATATCCACAGTTGAGACAATCTGTAAATATGGTATCAATTTTTGTTTAATTCAGTGTTTTTAAAGCTTCATGAAAGACTGTTTTCAGTTCAAAACAATGCTTTAATAGATCTTAAAGCAGTGTTTTGTGGGTTGGCATCCATGTTGCACAATTCAATTTTGATAAGTAATTGACATTTGTTTGTTGTCATCCAAGTACAATTTTTTGCCCATTTTCTCGGATAAATATCTTACTTGCTTCAAGGTATTAAGTAAAGGAATTCGCCTTGAATTTGTAAATCAATATATTCTTAATTTCACTCAGTAAAGTCAATTTTGTGGCGAAAGGAAAACATTTTCAATTTTTTTTTTTTGTAATTTGGTTATTTTGAAAAATTTTCAAGACTTGACAACTGAATATTATTTTTCTTAATTACGGCATTGGCGATAGTTCCACTAGTATCGGCTTATGGTGTATCGGCATTTGACCCATTTTTATTATCCTTATACAATGTCCATCGTAGTAAATAATTTAAAAAACCCTCGGCACCTTGTGTGGTTTGGTCGAAGTTTAGCATACTTTTTTGACTTATCCAAAGATCCTCTATAATAGCGAATAATCTTGGTGTATTTGTTTTACTTTTAGTAACAGAATCAATGCCATCTGATTTTACGGACATAGTGCTATGCTATCCACGCCTGCAAGCTCCAAAATATCCTGTAATTCATGCAACCTAAAATAAAAACATGGTAAAACACACCTTTGTTACAATATATCTTTTGTCTGGGGCTTCCTTTATAAATTTCTCTAGATCAACTGTATCTAAAATTTTTGATTTTTTTGGCTAAGAATCTTACGAAAATCTTTTTAATAATGCAATGAGTGTACTAAATATTGATGTGCTCGTATCAGTATTTCGTTTGATATTTAACATCGTACGAAGCATAAAATAGTTTGTCCAAAGTGTGGAACGTTTCTTGATTTTGTCCAAAGTCCGCTATCAGTACATATTTTCAGTACGAACGTAGCATTTTTATGTCCCTCGTGAACGTAATTTCAAAAATCTGGCAATTGTAAATTTTGGTTTGTCAAGCATTTCATGACCTCAATCTTTGTTATAGAATTTGGTGTATAATGATCAACTTTACTGCCTCTGAACAAGTCCATAATTATAAGTTTCGAGGCTACTAGTGAAAAAACGAAATTGGTTGTGAACAATTTTAAGATTGTAGTATTTTCAGTAGACAAATTTAATAAAAATTATATAGGTATATATGGATATTATAAAACCTTTATTTTGAGAATTTTTACATAAATTTGAATTGTTAATCATATTTTCTCAACTATTTATTTTAGAACAAATTTATAGGAGAAAAAGTTATAGAGAATACGAAGAGGAAGAAGAAGAAAGTCACATCTAGTTTATTTATCTTTATTTATTAATTGGATATTAAAACTCTAATAATTCACAATTAACAGTTATCTGTACAACATTTAAATCATTGTGAACTCAATTTTTCAAAATTTATTTCGAGTTTTCCGGAATGAAGACCAATTTACTCACGTATAAGGTTATTCATTCCAAAAATATTTTGTTCTAAGCTTATAGGTTTACCAAATATTAATTATCGAAATATTTAGTGATTATTTAAAAAGGCGATGCTTAGAACTGACACAGCAATTTATGCGGAAAAACTGTAAGCAAGGGTAAGGAAAAGGTATGTAGGTAAAGGTAAGGACAAACTATTTAGGTAAAGGTAAGAACAAACAAAAATATATTATTATAATAAATTGTTTCACATGACACCTCATGTTCGCACTTTTATTTAATTACCGAAGGTGAACTTTAACAACTAACCTAGACAAAATTTTACGCTGAATAATAATTTTACAGACTAACAGACAGTGAGTAACATTGAACTTAACATAGCAAAGATAACATCGTGTTGTGTAATAAAATATGTATATAAGTGTTAGATAACAAAACGTGAACTAAATTACTTAGCCTTTTTGAGTGCGGTGCTGATATTCATCTTTACATGTATTAAAAATCTTCGTAGTCAGTTTGAGTCTTCTTTTTCTGCAAAAACCGTCGATAGTACACGGATCTCAAGAGTACTCTTTAATAAAAATTAAAACATATCTGTTAATTTTACTTTATGCAGTTTAACAATTTAAAATATTATTTAATAAAGAATCGTTCTCTGAATGAATCTTATTGAGATATTTTTTATATATCTCAAGATCTCAAGACCTCAAGAATCTTACTCAATACTGTAACACCGTTAACACCAACAACAGGATGTCAGATATTAATAAATGTAATGAGTAATAAATAAATATTAATCAATGCTTTTATTAAGCAAAAAATATATATCATCGAATTACATTCAGTTCTTTATAGATATTAATTCCGTCTGTGAATAATTTATATTGTATATCAGGCACTTGTTTGAAAAACATGCACCTAAATGTAGTTATCATTCGAGCAATTCTACATATCCTGTCTGGTTTACAAAAGATATTATTAATAAAATTAAAATTCTGCAATAATTAGTGCAAAACAAAACGATTTCACTTTTGTACATACTGTACTGTGTGTAGTGTTAATTTCATGCGATCTTTATAATTTAATTTTACATACAGATCTATACATTTTGCTTGTCTGGAAATGATTTCGTATACGTTTTTTAATAAAGACTCGTGATAGAAGAGATGAGATCTGAAGAATTATAGATCAGTAGCAAGTTGATGCAAAATTACATCAATGTAAGTAAGACATTTGGTCGAATAAATATATGGATCTATAGGTAAGTAGAGAAAAATGTTGTGCCTCGGTGGGATTCGAACCCACGTCTCCAAGCAATCCGGGCTGGTATGCTAACCGCTACACCACAAGACAACTTATCTTTGCTCTGCTTACCCATGTGTTATTGTGCCGCTACAGTACTCCCCCCCCAGCGACACAGCGCGCGGTCGTGCTGGGGTGCGAAGGAGATAGATGCTGGCGTCGCCCCTACCACTCTTACGGTCGTTGTTCGAACCCTGGCGGTGCTGCGGACCCCGAACACAGCGGGCACAGGGCGGTGGCAGAAGGATGTTGCGTGCGCGTTGCCTGTCGGAGGTCACCAATATAGGTAAGCAGAGAAAAATGTTGTGCCTCGGTGGGATTCGAACCCACGTCTCCAAGCAATCCGGGCTGGTATGCTAACCGCTACACCACAAGACAACTTATCTTTGCTCTGCTTACCCATGTGTTATTGTGCCGCTACAGATCCTCG